CCCCCTCCCCCCGACTTCCGGGACGGGGCGGGGGCGGGGCTGCGAGGGCACCGTTGGTGGTCAGCGTGGCCCCGACACGGCCCTCTCGCCCCGTCCAGGTTGCCGCTCTACCTGGCCTCACTCTTCGTCAGCCTGGTTTTCCTGCTGGTGAACTTAACCTGCGCCGTGCTGGTGAAGACCGGGCGCTGGGAGAGGAAGGCCGTGGTCTCCGTGCGCGTGGCCATCAATGACTCGCTCTTCGTGCTCTGCGCCGTCTCCCTCTCCATCTGTCTCTACAAGATCTCCAAGATGTCCTTGGCCAACATATACTTGGAGTCCAAGGTAAGGTGGCAGAGCGGCCGGCGCCCTCCCCCAGCCTTCTGCGAGCCGCTCCCTGGTTTGCAGACGGGCTCAGCAGACACCTCGGCGCCTGCGGACGACCAGCCACGCCGTGGCGGCCACACGCAGAGCCCCGCTGGGCCCCGTGAGGATGGAGGGTCCGTTTCGGTGGCTCGGGGTCCATTTCGGTGGCTCGGCGCCCGTGCGCAGAGCCCCTGGCAGAGCATCGAGTCCGGTTCATAGATACGAGGGTTTGACCTCCACTTCGTGGCCGATTGTGCTGATGTCAGTGGAAACACATTTACGTTCGCTGAGCTGCGGACGCTTTTAGAAGCACTCGACGTGTGTAAACGAGCAGAACCTTCACGACCTGTGGGAGTACGTGTTCGCCGCACTTTGTAGACAGGGACACGGAGGCCCAGAGGTCAGCAGGTCGCCCCCGGTCACACAGCAGAAGCCGCAGAGCCACAACTCGGCCTCTGTCCCCTTCCCCGCCTGCCCGCCCTGTGGCAGGGGCTCACGCAGGCTCAGCCCAGGTGGCGGGCCCGGGAGCCGGGTCTCCGTGATGGTGGGAGCTGCTCCTGGAGCCCCGGACACCGTCCCTGTCATCGGTCGTCCAGAGGGCCAGGTCCACTCTCCCTACTGCCACACCGCATGCCCCAGAACGGTGTCCCCTCGCCCTCCCCGGTGACGTGGAAGGGCCGCATGCCGCCCGGGGCTGGGGGCCGCACACCCCGCACAGCCTGAGCCCGGGCCCTCCCTCCCTCAGGCCCAGCCCACCGGCCACGTGGCCTCGCTGGGCCTTGGTTTCCCCAGGGTAGAACGGTCGAGTGACTCCTGTGGCGCCTCCAGACTCCGTGGTCGTGAGTCCCTCCGGCCAGCCCCCCGCTGCGGTCCATCCCCGAGACCACGTCTTTGGGCCAAAGCTGGCGAGGCAGCTCTGTCTCCCATGTTATCTTCATGGTGACTGGGAGACTAAAGTCTGTGCCTTTCAAAAATACAAATCCGAAAAAAATATGTATGTACACAAACACGTAATCGGGGCATCCTGCGATTTGGCCGAACGCGCAGAATCCCGGCCGTGAGCATGGCAGAGCAGATTTTCATGTATGAATTCTTGTGAGTTTTCGGCTTGGTGATTTCCAAATGCAAAACTAAAAAACGAATTTCGGTTTTTTGGTCAACTGTCTCTTTCTAACTAAGGGTTCTTTAACTGACTTTGGAAATCGACAGCTTCATAAATTAGGGCACAAATCGCTGGTTTCCATGTAATTCCAAACCGGGACTCCAGTGCGCCCAGCTTAGAAGATTCTGGGCTTTGAGAGTGTCCCTCTGAGAGTGTTTCTGGCCCCACGCCCGAGGCCAGGCACTGGGCGCCTAGGCCGATGGGGTCCTCTTGGACTTAGAGACTTAAAGAAGCCACCTGACTTACAGGGGCTCACATTTTAACCCCTCAAAGCGACCTCCAGATCCACTCCCAGGCCTCAAAGTGTCCTGCGCGCAGGTAGTCTGACATTTTAGGAAGGGGCGTGGGAGGAGCTGGGGTCTGAGGCCTCAGGGTGGAGGGTTCTGACAGGTCGGCGAAGGCGGCAGCGCTTCGGAGGTCTGGCGGGCTCACCAGGCGGGGACACGGGCGGCGGGGACACGGGCGGTGTCAGGGAGGAGGCCGGTGTGCGCACCTCATGGCTCCCGCATTTCCAGGGCTCCTCCGTGTGTCAAGTGACCGCCGTCGGCGTGACCGTCATCCTGCTGTACACCTCCCGAGCCTGCTACAACCTGTTCATTTTGTCGTTTCCGCAGAGCAGGAACGTCCACCCCTTCGACTACGACTGGTACAATGTGTCAGACCAGGTCAGTAGGCGGCGCGGCCGCGAACGGCGAGTCTGTGCTCCGCAGCGTCTCGCGTGGCGGAGACGCACGGGCCCCTCGCCGTTGCCCTTCCGCAGCTGGATGACCGTGAGGGTCACTTTCCTGTGGTACCCGCATCCTCATCTGTACAGTGGGATCGTAGCACCTGCTGCGCCGGCTCGTGTGTCTCGTGAGAAACGAGGACATGCCGTGTGCGCCCGTGTGCACACGCACACACTGCTTCCCGCTTTCTATCTTCGGGGGCTTTTGTCAAGCAGACTTTAAATTTTTTTAAGTGCTTCCGTATGATGTAAGATGGTCTTATCGAAGGGTGACATTCGCCCAGGTAAAACACATTATATTTAGGTTTCAGAAAATACATAAAACCGAAGTTATGAGGATTTCTTTAATGGCGCGTGAACACTTACAGCACTCGAAATCCAGACCGAGGGACTGGGGACAGTCGGGTGTCGCTCATGCTCGTTTTATCGGTGGTCTCAAGATGACGCTCTCTTTTTCCCGTGAGTGAAGAAAGGTAGTGAAATACTCTGGGGCATCCATGTTCACAGAAGCTCAGAATAGAAAGGAATGAGTTCGCATTCTCTCGTGTGGGAAACGTGAGTCTTTGCGTCTGGCCCTGGACAGGGTGCAGGGGGTATGAAAATGAACAGACTCCCTCCCTGCCCGTGGGAGCCGACGTCCCTGAGGAGGCGACACACACAGAGAAGCCTTACGATAAAGGAATAGAACTTTATAAAAGTTCTATTGGATTCTATTGGATCGAATTGCAAAAGTTGCTTAGCTTTTCCAAAAAGCAGCGAACACCCACCTGTGGACAAATCCACTTCTAAAATCCCAACCGTGCTCAGACCTGGAGTAAATCAAGACTCTGGAAGAAAGGTGGAAACGACCGTGATGAGTTCGACCTGGGAGGACAGCGTGTCCTTCAGAAGAGGCACGTGCAGCTGTTAGACGGGATTAAAGCGGCGATGGTGACAGCCACCACCACCGCCAACCCCACCGCACCGCCGGTAAGGATGGAAGCCAGCAAGACACCGCTGAAGCTGTGCCCCGTCGCGAGAATATCAAATATATGAAAATCTGAACTTTAAGCAATGATAAATTGGACTCGTTCGTGCCGCCAGAGGATTTTTGGCAGTGAAGCACACACAGTCCGCCGCGGGGACCATTCGCGAGTGTGCCATTCGGTGGCACGTGGTACGGCCACACCGTACGACCCGTCACTACCCACCTCCAGAACCTTCCATCTTCCCACACCGAAACTCCACACCCTTCAAACGACAGATTTGGTTTTAACCGAATAATTATTTCAATTTTTCTTTCAAGTAAGAGCTGCTACATATAACAAATTTAGGATAACACAATTTTAGAAATTCTCTTGTTTTTAGGCACTGTTTATTCACAGATAGCTAGACCTGTGTGTTGCACCCGAAAGCGTCTAGGAGCAAAACAGATGGCCACAAATTGCACGCCGTTCGTGTGGGCCGGAGGAGGGACAGACAGCACCCTGCGGAGACGTGGTGCTGATGGCCTCCGAGGGGCAGCGTCGTCTTCCTGGAGACGCCATGAGTAGTTAGTTCCGCTTAGCGGACTTAACCGCGGTGTGACAGGGAAAGAAACGGGCCCTTTGTAGCTTGAGTGTGGTGCCCTGTCTCTGTCTGAAGTGACGCCCTCCTGGCAGAGTGCCCAGCACAGCCGTGCGTGTCCCTCATCTGCCCCACGGCGGAGAGAGGACGCCGTGCCAGGGCCGCTGGCCGTCTCTCTGGCCCTGACGTCCTGCGCTCAGGACCCTGTTCTAGACAGTCTGGCCTGGAGTGAGCTTAAGAGGTAAAGCACAGGATACGTTAATGCGGAGAGAAGTTTAAAACTCGGCCTGTTGACCCTGGGATGAGACAGGGTGACAGTTACGTGCCACTCTTAAGAATGTGGGAGACGGCACCATCTTCTCAGCATGCAGGCGAGAATCCGCCGAAGTCTGAGGAAGATTCTGGAGGGTGACGTTAACAAACATCCGAGTGGCAGTTTCGTCTTTGAGGATCCCGAAGAGGAGGCTCGTGTACCCTGAGCGCTTTGCCTGCCACGGGGTGTGGACCGTTCGCGCCGTCTAATTTCCACATGCGCGTCTCGGGGAAAGGACTGGTCTCTGTCCGTGTTGGGAAGATCGAGTCGAACTTATTTCCTCTGCTCTCAGTCTCTCTGTCCCTCTCTCCACAGGCCGATCTGAAGAACCAGCTGGGAGATGCCGGCTACGTGGTGTTCGGAGTGGTTCTTTTCGTGTGGGAGCTCTTGCCTACGAGCTTAGTCGTCTACTTCTTCCGAGTCAGAAGTCCTACGAAGGACCTCGTAAGTCAGCCGCTTGACATCTGCAGGAGACAACTCCTGGCCCTAAGCACAAGACATAAATTATAATGTTTTCTTAGATTTTCAACAGAGAGCATCCTTCATCCTGTTGTTTTATAAAACGTTCCTTTATTTAATCGAGACTTTCCTTTCCCTGAATTCTCCTTGGAGGGAAGTGTGCTTTTCGGTTTAGATTCATTTTACAAAAGAAATGAAAGTAAGTTGCACGTCAGGGCCGGGGGAGGGCGAGGAACTGCTTTTCCCGGTGCAAAAAACAGCCTCGCTAGTAATTGAGCCTCGACTTATCATGAACCGCGTCTGTGAGCTGCTGTTTTAACAAAGGAAAATCGAGAATGATAATTCAGTTCTTCACCCCTCTCTCACGCGAGCTAGTGATTGGGAAATGGGGTGATAGGAAATTAAAAGCATTAAAAAGATGCTGAAGCCACGCCCTCGATTTGGTCACATTCGTGCTCAACCAACTTTATAGAAACGTCTGGATGAGGACAGGACAGAAAATGCAAACCGGGGTGAGGAAGCCCCGGGCCGGGGGGCGGGGGGCGTTGCTCCGTGAATTATCCCAGCCACACTCACTAGTTAGTGGTAGACCCTGGAATCGCCGGCCTGCGACACCCGTGGGAAAGCGAATGAATGGTTTCGGTCCAGTGTGAGCAACACGTGGGTGGCACGGGAAGCACAGACGGAATAATCGTCTGCCGTGCTTTATCTCGTGTTTTCTCATTCGTCCCGGGATAGCCATTAATGAGCCGGGACAAAGGAAGACGGGGTGGGGCAGGGACGCAGGGCCAGCCTGACGGACGGACGGACGGTGCTGGAGAGCGGCGATGGGTCTCGGGACCGGTTCCCTCCGCTTCCGTTGTTTCTGTCTGACCTCGACGTGCACTGGGAAGCCCTGGAGGCTTCTATAAGGTCAGAGCCTAAACGCCCTCATCACCGGCACAGAAACAGGCGACAGGCCGCAGTGGGTTCTCGGCCGTTAGTCCAGCTCCTCGTTTTCCTTCCTCCTCCGGCGTTTCCTGGGATCTCGTTTGATGGAGGCAGAGTGAGTCCGCATCCTGAGCACAGGTTCGCCCAGGGGTCCACGTGCCTTCCCAGCCTTTCCTGGTCTCCATCACCTGGCGTCCGGAGGCTTCTTCTGAACCGTACTCAAGGCCACGCAGTCTCGGGAGAGCGCGTAACGTGGCCTTGTCCCAAGTGCTGTTCTGTTAACGGAATGCAGAGTAACATTGATAGTCCGGTCTGTACGCGCCGGTCTCAATGTCCAGGGAAGCGCGTCGTCCTGAGGGGTCCCCCGGCCGCTGCCCCGCCTCCCTCGCCTGGCATCAGTTCCTGCGGGCGTGTCGCAGGCGGGGAGCTCGGCGGGAGCGGGTTAGTGCATGTGCCATGCGGGGAGAGTGTCTCGGGCTCCCGCAGCCCCTCGTCGCTCTCGGATGTAGGCCCTGTGGGTTTCCAAAGCCAGATGTGATGGGGGCTCCCCTTCTGGGCACAGCGCCCCCATGGGAGGACCCCCTTCTCCTCTGGGGGGGCCTCCTGGCCCAGCTGTTTACCCCATTTACTCGTCGCCACGCTGACTCCCACCTGTCCCGAGGTGCCTCCTGGGTGTCCTTGGTGGTCGGAACTCTGGTCAGCAGTCTTCAGGTGGTCCTCAGTGACGGTGGTTCTGTAACTGAGTTGTCGTTCGGTGTGTTTGGGCTGAGGGTTCGCCTGCCCTGCCTCCTGTGCTCATCCTTAGATGAAGAGGCTGAGGCCCCAGGCTGAGGCTCGTAGGAGACGGAGCCAGGAGTCAGACCAAGTCAGTCTGGCCCCTGAGGCCTGGTTTTAATCACCGTGGCTTTCCTTGGCTCAATAAGGTTTGCAGAAGAAACTAAATTCCTCATACAGCAAGTCCTCACCTAACGTTTGCGATAGGTTTTGCGACAAGTGAAACGAAGGGGGACAAAACCAGTTTTACCCCAGGCTGATTGGTCTGAGCCAGAGTTAAGTTCCTGCAGCATCTCATCCGCGTTATAAAAAACGGTGTTTAGGACATTGTGTACATATGACTCAGTGATAAATCCTTTGCTATCTATAATGTCTGCAGTTGCTTGGAGAGAGCATCACGTGATATTGTCCTCATTTGGGAGGGATTTATAACTTAGCTCATATTCGTCAGCTTTAAAAGCGCACCCCGCTGGTGGGGCATTTCTTTAAAATGTCCTCTATCATATGTATCCAGAGTTCAGCTTCTTGGCGTCACTGGAGCTGACGTAACCGTGGACTCAGGCGTGGCTCTGCTGTCTACGTCAGAATTCCAGGGTACCCGGGCCAGGTACCAGTTCCCAGGCCGTGTTCTGGACCCATTCAGTCTCTGGGGTAGCTTCCTGGAACCCGCATTTTAAATAATTTAAGAAGCACCCCAAGGGATTTCAACGCGCTGTAAAGTTTGACAATCTATGTGGTTTTTTTGTTGTTTAAATGGCTTTGAGATATAATTCCCATACCATACAATTCACCTATAAAATTATACAACCCAGTGTGTTTTTTGTATATTCAGATATGCACAACCATAACCAGTTTTTAGAACACTTTTATCGCCTCAAAAAAAAAAAACAAAACCCATACCCTCTCTCGCTCCCCATCCTCTCCCCAGGCAACTACTAACCTACTTTCTGTGTCTCTATTTCTCTCTTCTGGACTTTCACATGAATGGGGTCACGTAGCATACGGTTTTCTGTGGCTGGCTTCTCACACTTAGCACAGTGTTTTCAAGGTGCGTCCTTGATGTGTGTACGTATCAGGACTTCATCCCTTTCCCTGGCCGAATGACATTTCACTGTGTGGCTCTAGCACGTCTGTTTATCCACTCATCCATTGCTGGATGTTTGGGTTTCCCGCTTTGGGCTATTATGAATTGTGCATGAAGCTGCTAGGAACATTCGGGGACAAGTTTCTGTGTGAACATGTCTTCATTTCTCTTGGGTAGATATGTGGGAATACAATTGCTGGGTCATATGCTAACTCGATGTTTCACAATTTGAAAAATTGCCAGACTTTTCCACAGAGGGCGTGGCGTTTCATGTTCCCACCAGTAGGGTGTGAAGGGCGTGAAGGTTCTGGTTGCTCTGCATCTTCTCCAGGACTCGTTCTCATCTGGCTCCTTGACGCTGACTTCGTGATAGGCGTGAAGCGCTATCTCACTGAGGCTTTTGCTCTGCCTTTGCCCGACATCCAAGCGTCTCTTCAGATCCCTTGCCCATTTTCGAGTTGTTTCTTTTTTCTTATTGAGTTGTAAGAGTTCTTTCTATGTCTTAGGTGTAAGTCCCTTGTCAGAAATGATTTATAAATATTTTCTCCTGTGGGTTGTCTTTTAATTTCTCGATGACGTCCTTTGAAGCACAACATTTTTTAATTTCGATGAGGTCCATCCAGTTTATCTTTTCTCTTTAGCTGCTCGTGCTTTTGGTGTCTTATCCAAGAATTCTTTGCCAAATCCTAGGTCATGAAAATCTGCCCCTGTATTTTCTTCTAAGAGTTTTATAGTTTTTACTCTTACATTTAGTCCTGTGATCCGTTTTGAGTTACTTTTTGTATATGTGTGAGGTAAGGGTTCAACTTCATTCTTCTGCATAGATATTCTGGAACTACACATAGTAAATTTTTAGGCATCTCACCTTGTATAAGTTCCACTTTGCTTCCTGTGTTTAGCCAGATTAGTCTTAGAAAAGCAGGAATTCACATAGAGAACCACCATCTAGCAACTTGTTTCATACTCTGTTGGTTAACTTTTAAATAGACTACTCAGAAATTGTGCAAAGATGTCAGGCAAATGCTGGATTTTATGCCAGGGTTGGTTTGCCATATTACATAGTTCTGATCTGCTTACTTGAAACCAGTCATTTGAAATCTTTTGAGAGGTAAACTCAGCTTGGGGACAGAAAGAGGATGGAATGATTGTAGAGGCAGGTTCTGGAAACTGGTTACAAAATTCGAAATCATTTCACCCTTATCGTTTATTTTAAATTGTCGCGAATGCATACTGTTAGGCAGGTTTGCGTAAAGTTACCATATGGCCCAGCAATTATATCCGATTTGGGACCATCTAGTTGGCTTTTGGATGTTGCGTGGCTTTCTGAAAGGAATTCCGACTGTGATAATTCACTGTTGCAAGCAGAACTCTGAGAGAGGACTGTGTCCATGCGGGTAAAGGGAAAAGCTAGTGCCCCTTACGTGGGACAAAGCCAGTGAGATGAACCACAGCCCGCAGGCCCCGCCCAGAGGCGGGGGGCCCCGTTCGTCTCCTGTTTCTCTTTGTCTAGTGCGGGGTCCAGTGTCTGAACCAGTGACTGTCTTTCCAGACCAACCCGGGGATGGTCCCCAGCCATGGATTCAGCCCCAGATCCTACTTCTTTGACAACCCTCGAAGATATGACAGTGACGACGACCTTGCCTGGAACGCCGCCCCTCAGGGACTTCAGGGAAGGTACGCCCCAGTTCCCGCGGGGCCGGGTCGGTGGGGTGAGGGCGCACCAGTGACAGAGCCGGGCCCAGAGCGCCCACAGTGGATCGCGGGAGCCGGGGCGCGAGGCTGGAGGGGGGCCGGCACCCCGTGTGCGTGCGAGGCCCACCGCGGCCACGCAGAGGCGCCTCCCGGGAAGGGGGAGTCGGGCTTCTCCCAGCAGCAGCGCCGGGCGCCCTGGGGGTGCAGGCCGCCGGGGTCCCCTGCCCCTCGCGTCCACCCGCTGGCACCTCAGCCACTGCCCCGCAGCG